TCCGTTGGTGGGCAGCATCGCGACCCAGTACACGACCAACAGAGCCGAACATGACCGAACGGCCAAACAGTGGACGAAACGATACGCCACATGAGCCCGCAGGACGCCGGCGGGACGAGGAGGAGGGCCGGGGCGTCGGGTTTATTTCTATCTCAGATTTTTAGAAGTTTATCGTCTGGTTTATTTTTTGCTCCCTGATTAAGTTATCTCTACAAATATGGAAATAAAGGAACAAAATGAACAACCCTGGTTTGTTATCTGCTGTTTTTCTGTGATTTTATCTGCAGCACGACCAACTCGCACCCTACTCGGTATTAAGAACTTTTAAATTGGGTAAATCAGCGACTTCACTGTGAGCAAGTTCAGATATTTGGAGCTGAAGGTGCGTGTTGACCTTCAGACGGTCGTACTGAGCTGAAGACCACGTTTCCTAATGGAGCTACCCTCCAAGGTGGGGTTAAAGGTCACCGGCATTTGTCTCCTTGCTTTTTGTCTGTTTTGTAACTTGTGCTTCATCTCGTGTCCTTCGTCTTCCTCCTTTTAAACGCATGTCCAAGGCGGTCGTTTTACGGTTTAGTCTGTACGTCTCACCCATAACTTCTGACGGCTCAAGATAATTTAACACAACTTGATATGAATTTGTACCACCACCGCACGGCGTGTAATCTTTTCATCACCCCAGTTTCAAGGTCAAGGTCACAAATCCAGGTCTTTGCTCGTCCGTGGCGTGGCTACGCATTGCTGTGGATCACGTGTCGACAGGCGTGTAATTTACCGTATGCGTCTCCCAAATGTCTCCTTTTGTTTTTGTCTGTTGGGACATGTTTTTTCTATCTCAGTGCATCTGGAAAGTTTTCACAGCACTTCTCTTTTTCCACATTTTTTGTTACAGCCTCATTCTAAATTTTATTAAATTAATCTCTTTCCTTAAAATGGCCGTCGGTATAAACAGCGATCGGGGGAGAAGGGAGAGGTGACCAAGAACCTGATGGTGCCTGTCAGAGCTCCAGCGTTCCTCTGTGGAGAGAGAACCTTCCGGATGAAAACCACTCCTTAATAAGAGGCACATGGCAGCCCGTCTGCAGGTGACCAAGAGACACCTGAAGGACTCTCAGACCAGGTCTGATGAGACAAAGACTGAACTCTGGTTTGAATGCAGGTGTCATGTTTGGAGGAAACCAGCTCTTCTCCAGGCCAATCCCACCCCTACAGTGAAGCACGGTGGTGGCAGCATCATGCTGTGGGAGGTTTTTCAGCAGCAGGAACTGGCAGACTAGTCGGGATAGAGAGAAAGATGAATGCAGCGATGTACAGAGACATCCTGCATGGAAACCTGCTCCACAGTGCTCTGGACCTCAGACTGGGACGACCCAAAGCACAAGACCAAGATCTCAAAGGAGGGGCTTCTGGACCAGCTTGAGAAGTACTGCAAAGAAGAATGGGGCAAACGGTCTAAAGATGTGTGTGCTCAGCTTGAAGCATCTTATTCAAAAAGCCTGGAGGCTGTAACTGCTGCCAGCGGTGGATCAACAAAGTACGAAGCAAAGGCTGTGAATACTTACGTAAATGTGATTTCTTGGGTGTCTATTTTTAATAAATTTGCAAAAACCTCAGTCTTTTTTCACACTGTCGGTTTGTGTATTGTGTGTAGAATTTTTAGGAAAAGAGATTAGACGCGTTGTACAGTAAATACTTCCTGGATGTGCTGTGTGCTTCTTTTTGTCCCTCGCAGTGAAAGAGGGAAGCGAAAATTAATTTAACGGGGCCACCAGTGGCCACCCCCTGGCTCCACCAGTGGCCACCCCCTGGCTCCACCACTGCACCTGGAGGTGGGTAAAATGTCTCTCTCTCCAGGATCCATCGTTCTGCACCACCTCGGATAAGAAAAGAAAACCCTCCCTCTGTTCTCCACAGGGTGACTCCTCCCCGCCTGAACATCTCGCACCAAAAACATTTAGGTTTACTTCAATTGTTCAGTTTCAGTCCAGAAAAACACTCCTCTCCAAAACTACAAACGCTCAGATCCCTCAGGGACACGTCGACAAACCACTTTCTGCTCCGTGCTTCTTACTTTAACAGCTAAAGTTCGGCTCTTCTTCAGTAAAGTCTTTCAGCGCTCACGTTTCATTTCTCCAGTTTGGCACCAGTAAAGTCTGAACAGCCGAATCTGATGGTGAACGTCCGGATGTTCCATCGTCTCCGACACTTCCGGGCGTTTTGTCGTTCATCAAATGGTTTTAAAGAAAAGTTTGTGGACGTGACGAGGACGAGTCGTTCCACACGAGCTGGAACACTCATCATCTGTCCTGTTTGATTTAAACCACTTTCTTTTATTTGTCTTCACGTAAACGAGACATTTTTTTCCAAGAAAACCTGAAACCTCCTGACCTCCCAGAAAGTAATTATTAACTTGTTTTAAAGCCTCCAGTTCGTTTGGCACACGCGACAAATGTCAAAACGTGATGAAATAAAGTTGTACGGGTCAGCCAGGACAAACGTTAATGATTTCTACACGTTTTATTTTTAGGTGAAGTTTTGATTGTCCGATGAACGTTTACAGGAGGATCGTGCATCTTTCTGCCTCTTTGGGTCAGAACAAGATGAAAATGAGTCAAACGTGTTTGTTGCTGTGAGTTAATTAAAACGGTACGTTACGTTAAACGTCTGCGCTCTGTTCCAGGAGTTCTGTGACCTTTTAAATTAAAGTTACCGTCCGGGAAGAGAATCTGTTGATCTCTGAAGACAGGCATGAAATAAAACTAAAAATAAATAATATACCTGAAGCTTGGCCTCGTTTCAGCTTTAATGATGGACTTCCAGGACCGCTGAGAAAATGACAAAACCAAAATAAATCTCACTAATAATCTGAATTAGTTCATTATAATTCACATTTACAGAAATTACCCTCCATTTACATAAAACCCTTAAACTTACTGGGCATCTCGTTTGTGTCCACACGTTAGAAATTGTATAAATGTGGCACTAAAAGTAATTCAGACAAAAGTTTTAAATCACTTAATTGTTATGTAAACATTTATTAAATAATCTAAAAAAGTTAAGTCAGGTCCTCTAAACGGACTCAAAAAAACCAAAAACCTGTTGAGAAGTTTCTGGGCGCCTCCCTAAGGAGGTGGTTCAGGCATGTCGGGTGGGGAGGAGACCCCGGGGAAGGCCCGACACGCTGGAGAGACTACGTCTCTCTGTTGGCCTGGGAACATCTTGGAGGCCCAGAAGAGCTGGAAGAGGTGTCTGTGGAAACAGAGGTCTGGACCTCCCTGCTCAAGATGCTGCCCCCAAGACCTGAGTCCAGAACAAGAGGAAGATGATGATGGAAACGTTTCATCTTTTATCCAAAGGACTTCTTCAGTCTGAGGAGCTGCAACAAACTCAGTCTTATAAATAACATCTTCTCATAGTGGATCAACCAGTTTGTTGTTGACATCCAGGACCAGCTGTTCACATGATAAAAGAGGACCATCAGTCTAACAATTGGTCGTTAGTGCCCCGATGGCGGCTTGCTATTCACAGGAGGCTGAGTGATTCTAGCAATAACAGAGGGGGGTAGATGAACACGGAGGCTCCGCCCCTGTTTAATGATGGGCAGGTTCTCTTCACAAAGATGGCCTCCTTCACTCCTCAAACCATCGTTCCTCTCTGTCCAGGATGTGAACGTCTCTTCATCCCTGAAAGTGACCTCTGACCTGCAGACGAGTGGACCTCAGAGTGGCCAGTAGATGTTGCTCTTCTGTGCTGGTCCATCCTTTTGGTCAGTGGTTGTTAGTTTCCCCATCAGTTTCCAACTGTCCCCCTCATACAATGCTGTTATTGTCAGTAACACTCGGCCCCTGTGAATAGCAAGCGGCCATCGGCACTAACGAGGGCTGATGGTCCTCCTCCATCACGTGAACAGCTGGTTCTGGATGTCACCAACAAACTGGGTGATCCACTACATGAGTTTATTGCAGCTCCTCAAACATTTTTTAAATAAAAGACGAAACATTTCAACAAGTTTTGTTTTTTTTTAATCCGTCCAGCGGACCTCACTTAACTTTATTTTTCTACCTTATTGAGCGTGCATCAGGATATTTATTGAACAATGTTGGGCTTGTGGTGGTTTTATTTATTTTGCAGTTTGTTTTGTTAAAAAACTTTTGTTCTTTTAAACGTTTGTTGAAGTGTTTTCAGCTATTTTCAGCTTTTGGTGTTTATTTTTATGTTTATTTCACTTTCAGTTTTTGTTCTACATTTTTCTTGCTTTTCACCAGTTTATGTAATTTCATCTTTATTCAAATATTTTCAGGTTCTTAGACCATTTTTAAGCTCTCATTTGTTCATTATTATTTTTGTTTATGGATAAATGTGCACTCCCGTTGTTGGTTTTCTCCCCTCAGACATCTATTAAACCAGTAAAAATAAAAACAGATTACTGGTAACAGACCTGCTTCTGACTGCGCTGCAGGTTGTGGAAGTTTAAAATGGGTGTTTAGTTGTTTATCAGGTTTATCAGATGCAAAAAGTTCAAATGAAAAGAAGAGTTGCACATTTTAAACTTTAAAACGTTTGTGTTCTTTGACAGAAACGTGTTCAACACGAACATGCTTTTACACGTGACCGACGAGATAATACTTTATTTCCGTGGTAAACACGCAGATTAGTAACGACTCACATTAAAGTTCATTTCCTGGTAAACCCCCAGCTTTAGAACAATTATTACTGAAGGACAGCTATTTCATAAAAACAAAACTTAGAGCACGTTTTATGAGATTTTACCAAAGAAGCGCCTTCTTCTTCTTGCTGTTAAAGTCGAGCCGCACGTAGCACTGCACGTTATGCTCTGCAACGTGACCGCCGCGTTACGTCACCACCACGCTTGGCTCCGCCCCCTCTCCCGGCGCTCGGAAAAGTGTGTCACTGGGTTAAAGTGAGCGGAGGGGCGGGGCCGACAGTAGGTCACATGACCCTCACTATTCAGAACATTTAGTTCCCTTCAACCCGCAGTCACCCACAACAAGACGGAGAGAAACCCTGCTCGGTTGTCGGTCCCGGACGGTAAAGTCTTGACAGAATCTCTCCTCGAACCTGCGCCTTGTTGTTTTTAACCGAACTAGAAGACATTTTTTCTGGACTTCGGTTCCGAACTGCTTTGACCGTCGCTGCTTTTAGACTTTTAGACAGAAAACCTCCCGAGACGTTTAGTTTCCTCCTCGACCAGCGATGTCAGACGACATCGGGACAGCCAAACCCGGTAAGAGCCCATTATTTCTCATTATTCATTTATCCGTTCATTTTGAACGGATCGGTTCCGAGAGCACCGTGCACGCTCTGCAGAGGTGGCTTTAGCTCATGTCAACCAAAAATCAAGCGAGTTTAACAACAATTATTAAGGTTTTGGGGAAAGAATCAGACATCTGTCGCTTAAAATCTCTGATTAATAGTGAGTTTATCTTCGTAACATTACGGCTGGACCAGTTTCTTGATATTGTTATTTGTTTAAAATGTTTTGGAGTGTTGTCGTGTGCGCTAGAAGGAGTTTTTGTTGCGGCTCACTTGTGTTTTTAACGGGGTTAGGAGGAGCAGAGCGCCGCTAACATTCACATTTGACAACAACCGTGTTCCACTTCCCCGGTCCGGCTCACATGGACCGGGTCGCCTCGCCATGTGCCACTGTGTACACGCTTCCCGGCAGCGCTTCTGATTGGCCCAGGGGCGTTCCGCTCTGAGCGCACGCGGTCGCGGAGTTCTTCTCTGATTGGTCGGAGCGGGGCAGTGACGTGACGGGTTGTGTAATCCAATGGCTGCCTCTGCCTGGCTGTACACGTGAGGGGGAGGGGCAACAGCGGCGCCTGACCTAGATCTTCTGTCCTCGCGCTGTACTTCTGCTGAAATTCATGACAGGTCCACGTGTGGGCGGCCAGTCAAAGAGTGGGAACAGTCGTGGTTGTGGTTAGGTAATCAGCCCGAGGCTTTCTGTTGGAAGGAAAACAAACGTGCGTTTCTGTTGAAATTAAAACCGATGGTGTAAAATCTGTCATCCAGTAGAACTTTTTGAACACTTTAACCTGTAAATCAAACATTTATGACTCAGGGAAGACTCTGTCTGTTTAGGGAGCAGATGTTTTCGTCACTTCACTAAGAGGATCTAAAAAAGTTAAGTCTGGTCCTGTGGAAGGGTTCAGCTGAACACAGCTCCTCAGGCTGAAGAAGTCTTTTGGATGGAAGATGAAATGTTTCTACAGTTTTGTTTTGTTTTTTGAACCCGTCCAGAGGACCAGGTTTAACCGTTTTAGATTTTCTGACCTGGATTATTGAGCATGCGTCAGGATATCCCTGGAGGATGTTTTCCTCCGTTTGCACCAGTTGGTCCCTGCGAGCGTTGCCCTGGTGTCTGGTGGAGCCCACTCGTGTTACGTAACCGTTATCCAACCGGCGCTCCGGAGTTGATAAATCGGGTCAAAAGCTGCAGGGAACCAACCAACCAGGAAGCAGCAACACACGTGTACAAACACACCGTCAGGGTGTGTCACAGGCGCCTCTGCTTTCTATGAATAGCTGGTACACGAGTCATTAATCGCCTCGGGTTATACTTTAACTCCTGTACTTTGACGTGGAGTAAAGTTTAACGTGTCAACGTGACCTTGTTTGTTTGTTTACCACAGGAGGAGTCATCGCCTACATTTCATCCAGCTCGTCCTCGGACTCCTGTATGAGCGGCGCCAGCAGCTACGCGTCACCAGCTGTGCCTCGACCCTCGCTACCCAGCAGGGCTGTGGGCATGGTGGTGGACATCGCTCCCCCAGCGAAACGCGGCGGCACCGAGAAGACCGGCCGCTCCTCGGCGTCTGCCAAAAGCAGCATCACCAGTAAGGCTTTTTGAACGCTTCACTCACGAGTCACAGCCTGGGACACTTTCGCTCATCGTTCAATGTTTGCAGAAATCAACGGCATGGTGCTGCTGTGCAAGGTGTGTGGAGACGTGGCCTCGGGCTTCCACTACGGCGTCCACGCCTGCGAAGGATGCAAGGTGGGTTAACGCCTCCGCAGCCCGGCTCTACGTCCTCTGTGTGCATGCTCACGCTCACGGGGTTCCTTTTGGTTCTGCAGGGCTTCTTCAGGAGAAGCATCCAGCAGAACATCCAGTACAAGAAGTGTCTCAAGATGGAGAACTGCACCATCATGAGGATCAACAGGAACCGCTGTCAGCAGTGCCGCTTCAAGAAGTGTCTGGCTGTCGGCATGTCCAGAGACGGTGAGCGTTTGGATTCATAACGTCTGCTGTTAACCAACTGGTGGCCTGTGGGCCCAACTCGACACATAAAGGGGTTGAAAGAGGCCCGGCTGTTAAAGACGGTGAGATGTTTAGTTCTAACGTTGGTCTGTTTTTCTTTTAGCTGTTAGATTTGGCCGCATCCCAAAAAGAGAGAAGCAGAGGATGCTGCTGGAGATGCAGAACGCCATGAACAACATGATGAGCAAGAACAGCCAGCTGCACAACATGCTGCACGGCGACCAGAGCTCCTCGCTGCCCATGGAGGCCATGAGCAGCGACGCCAGCTCCTCTTCCTCCTCCTCCTCTTCCTCCTCCTCTACCTCCGAATCTCCGTCGTGCTCCAGCCCGTCCTCCCCTCAGTGCCCCCAGGACTCGGAGTTTGTGGTTTCCATGGACACCAACTCCAGCTCGGCCTCTTCCTGTGCGTCGGACAGCAGCGAGGACGAGGGCGTCGCCGCGGTGAGCAGGCAGAACCAAGACGCCTTCGGCCAGCAGAGGTCGCCGACGCCCGACTCGGTCGTCGCGGAGACCAACTGCAATGGTGGCACGGAGCAGCAGCAGGAGAGCTCCAACTGCTGGAACAACAACAACAGTGCGGCGGCGGGAGGGCACCAGCGCTGCCCGTACAGCGGCGCCGCCACTAACTCCGCCTACAGGGAGGAGAGGGCAGCGGGTGAACTTCACACACAGACCTTCAGCCATTACAGTGAACCAAACAGCTGCGTGAAGAGCAGAGCGTACCTGGTGAGTAAGAACTGTACGACAGGTGAAACCTTAAAGCTCCTTCAGAACACCTTCATGACTCTGTTTGTGCTTCGAAGGTCTGCCCCATGAACACCTCGCCTTACGTGGACCCCAGCAAGCCCAGTCAGGAGATCTGGGAGGAGTTCTCCATGAGCTTCACCCCCGCCGTGCGAGAGGTCGTTGAGTTCGCCAAGAGGATCCCGGGCTTCCGTGACCTCTCCGAGCACGACCAAGTGAGCCTGCTGAAAGCTGGAACGTTCGAGGTGAGCGGGTCAACGGGTTCTCAAACGGGTTCTCCAAACGGAACCATGTTCTGGATGAACGTTTGTTAAAATCACAGAGACCGCTGTAACACCTCTGCTCCCGATCTGCAGGTGCTGATGGTCCGGTTCGCCTCCCTGTTCAACCTGGCCGAGCGGACGGTCACCTTCCTGAGTGGGAAGCGGTACAGCCTGGACACGCTGCGGTCGCTCGGCGCCGGAGAGCTGCTCAACTCCATGTGCGAGTTCAGCGAGAAGCTGGCCGCCCTGCGACTCAACGAGGACGAGCTCAGCCTCTTCACTGCCGTGGTGCTCGTCTCCGCCGGTAAGATTTACATCTTCACGTTTTTAATCAAGAGGTGCACAGAGTGTAGTTTCAGAGCCAGTTTCAGGTCGGACCTGCTGGGTCTTCTGAAGCTCCTCCAGTGTTTACTCCAGTAGGTTTCCATGCACCAAACGTAAACAAAGCACAGCTGAACCTGTAAAAACAACATGGACGCTGCAGTGGGTCACCTTCATGAGGCTGGCTGTTGTCTGTAAACAGACATGGAGGAACATCTAATCTGATTTGAGACGTTCAGGGGGAGTAATCCACCTGCCTCTAAAGTAAAACGAGCTGCACGTCCACCTGAGCAGGATGAAAGTAGCGACTGAATCTTTGTGTCCTGCTCGTAGATCTAGAGCTCCGAGTCTACGATCCGCAGCACAAAGTTTGAACTAGACTGGATTAGTTTTCAAAAGCTTCTGCAGCGTTAACGCCCTCTCTGTGTTCTGGTCCAGATCGCTCAGGGATCCAGGACTTGGACTCACTGGAGGCCCTGCAGGACAAGCTGATCTGGGCCCTGCGGAACCTGGTGGTGCAGAACCACGGCGACGAGTCGGCCACCACCTTCACCAAGCTGCTGCTCAAGCTTCCGGAGCTGCGCTCGCTCAACAACATGCACTCTGAGGAGCTGCTGTCGTTCAAAGTGCACCCCTGAAGACTTTCTGGGACGTCTCCGTCCTCCACCTGGACCTGCCCCCCCCCCCGTACTCGACCAACTCCGTGTTCGTCCGTGGAATGTATGAAGTGGTTTTTGAATCGTTCCGGTTGAGTCGGCACACGGGATCTGAAGAGAACTTAAAGTTTACTGTAGCGTGAGGAGATAGCTTTGCTCGTTGCACATAAATCATACACAGCATGCGTGTTAGAGGTTTTAGATCGAATGCATTTTATATAAAACATGCAGTGCTAAATGAATTTGTCATTATTATTTTTATACATTCGTTTCCTCCAAAAGCCATTAATTCCAAAGTGTATTCTCTGAGCGTGTGAATGTTTGTGCTAAAAACAGAAGCTACCAGAGACGTGTGGACAGAATGTGGATCGCTGCTAACGCATGGCTCTGATTAATAATCTACTATAATCTGGATCTGCTCCCCTCACAAAGCATCCCGTCATTGTTTGGTGTACATGTCTGTTTCTATTTAATGTTTAACCTCTTTCTGCGTACGGGGAGGTCGTTTAAAGCTAAGACACTATGTTTGGGAGCAGAAGGCATCGAGTCGGCCGTTTGGTTCAGACGCCGCAGCTTCGCCCACTTTTTGTTTTTATAAATGAAACTTTTCAGCATGGCACTGAATTTTGTCACTTGTTTTTCCTGATGGAGTTTGTTGAAATATCAACTACTGGCAGCACTGCCATATGTAAATACTCGTGAAATATATATAAATATCTATAAATATCTGATGAACATAGTCTATAAATATGATATAGTATGAATAAAAATAACTTAAAATATTTGCTGTGGTGTTTTATTTTTAATGAGCATGGTTCTCCAGCAGGTGGCGCTCCTCCTCTGTGACATCCTGATGAAGACAATTATCAAAATAAGCAATAGTTTGTTGCTGTTTGATACAGAACAAAGCCGTTGAGAATACCTGAAAGTACAATTAAAGCCAGCGTGGCATGAGTTTGAAACTAACAAAAAGCTTCACTAAATAAAAACATTGTTTTGTTTGTGTCCAGCTCGAGGGCCCCTGGAAACTACTTTTCTGGCACCCAAGATGAACTTGAATGCAATATATTTTTATGGCTTCTCATTTTGCATAAAACTGCAGAGTACGCTGTTTTTAGTCTGCTTGATTCAGTGC